GCGAGAACCAAACCATTATGGAGATTCGACTTTATTATATGACATATAGATGGGTTAATCAAGTGCTAACATGAACGAAGAAACTATATATTCTCATCTCTTCGCTTTCAAATGACAACTTCTTTTTATAATTTACATTTTCCCATGACCAACTTACAATCAAAGTCGTCTTTGTCCGTCTGAGACATTAAGAAAAAAACGGGCCAAAATGGTCTCAAATTTGGCAATTTAACCTTCAACTTTTTTGTGCTTGTGGCAGGTTGAGGGAGAACTCAAGAGCAGTAGAGAACAGACGGATAACAAGCAAGACGAAATGCAGAGAGAATACAAGGCGAAGTACGGGAATGTTCTCGCAGAGAAAATGCCATTAGGTGATTGATCTGAAACGGATAAAAGACAAAAAATCATTGCAAGAACCATTTAGATGAAGACTTGCCYTTCCTGTTGAGTTTTGTTGTTTTCTTTGGTTTAGGATCTCAAAGTTGGAGGAGGAACATAGCCAAGCGTTAGAATCTTCAGCTAACAAGATAGCAGTTGTTAAAAAAGAGCTGGAGACTGTACAACAAGAAACAGACAAACTCAGGTCCGCGGTGTTCCCATTGATTCACTCATTCTTCTCTGTCGCTTTATCACTATGTAACACCAGGCCCCATCCACACTACGCCGGAAAAAACGCAGCAATCACTGGTCATTTCGGATTTGGATTTGAGGAATACTCGGATAGGGAAATCATTTGATCATCGTGACTCCATCGTTTTCAAAAAGCTCCGTTTTCCTGACGGATTAGTGTGGACGGTAGGCCTAAACGAAGAAATAAAGCTGCGTTTTCAAATTTATCCGGCGTAGCGTTGACGGGGCCAAAAATGGTATTTAAAAAAACAACAACAACAACAACAATTCACCTTGCTTTGGTGAAAACTACATTGTACATACATACACGATTATTCACAGCAGTAAGTAAATTTGTTAATGTGTACTACAATGTTAACCAACCGCTATTTACCTTGACTACGCGCCTGTAGGAAATATTTATTTGCTGTTCTTCTTTCTCTCTTTAATTTTTGCTTTCATTATTAATGTGTTATTTAATCAGAGAGCAACACCAAACAGAAGTGTCCGCTACGGAAGACAAAGTGAAATGGCTTGAGCT